TTCTTTTTGTGCTGTTCTAGATGCTCAGTTATTCTTTGTTCCAGTTCCTGTTCAGTTTTTTAGTTAGAGGGCTTTGTTCTTTCTGAGAAGGCAGAGGAGAGGATGCCTGGTTTGGGAATGAATAGCTATGCTTGCTTCCTCTACTGCTGACTCCCCCTGGTTTGCCTCTACAGTTTGAGCTACTTATGGCAAGGCTTCGATTTCTTTCCCTTGGGTAGACCTTTGCAGTTCTTCCAATTCTACTTCTGTGAATACTTTATTTCGTATTATAAATTGATGTTGATCTCCTAGGCTCTGTTCTGTTAGTTCTGATTCTGGATGTTGTTCTTTCCAGAACAGGTGCATTCTTTTCAGATATCCTCTTCTCGTTGGACTTGATTTGTAATAGCAGATAATTATTTCTTTAGTTTCAGTCTTTGTATAATTGCGACAGGTAAACAACTTTTCTTCCAGTAGTCCTGCAGCTGCTGGTCGTGGATGCTCAGCCAACAGTCCTGAGTCCTGTAGCCCACCTGTTACCAGATGTCCAGAAACTAGAATAACTAGCGCAGTCCTTGTTGACTTGGGTGATGACCGATCCAGTATAGTTTTCTGTAAATTATGTCTCACCATATTGTTTATGGGAGAGGCACTCTTCGTTTGGCTCTTCTGATAAACCTGTCAAGTATGGTTGAACCTCTGGCATAGCTCTCATCCTCCTCGGAGCATGCAAGCCCCATAACCATGTCAAGGTAGTGCCTCACTGGGTGTTGTTGTTGTTGTTATTATTTTTACTATTATATCCATGACTCTGGTTTCATCGCTAATCCACCACTTTAAATAGCCCAGTTTTATATTTCTTGCTTTTCCTCACATTTCAATGCCTTACTCTAGGTTACAGACCCTACTGAAATGTATTATTCCTACATAATTCAGTATTAGGCATGCAATGAAGGCAAAAGCCTTGCCATCAAAATATATCTTTTCCCAAACTGAACACTATGCTATAACAAAAGTAAGATGCATAGCACAGAGAAATACTTAGAGATGCACTCAGAATTCATCCCAAAGATTGTATGAAACTAGTACTGTATCACCTTTTACTGTGATTTACTCTGTGGTAAATAAAGAGATTCCAAACTAATGAATAAGGATGTTAAGGCATTTCCTGCCATTTAAGCTACTCCATAACTTTCACTCTTAAATAGCAAAGGCAGATTTGAATGATCTTAATTAATTTTTATCCCACTCCATCTCTGAGATTCATATCATTCTAGTAAAATGTGAAACCTGTATCACATAGCTAAGCAATTCTTCCTAAGCTTCCCCTGTAACTTCATTATGGACTGCGACTACTCCACAATCCTTGAGAGTATTTCCTCCTTGTCTGTATGCAAAATAGATTAGGGCTATTTCTATCCGATTCCCAGATATTCATGGTTTGGGTGACTTTTTTATGTATCTGTATGGGTTTTCTAGAAAAATATGAGTATAATGCTGCTAAGAATTTTAGACTGTAGTCCAAATTTATTGTCTATGCTGCCCTTTGTTTTAACAGAATTCTGTTTGAATCAATAATCTAACTTTAAATAAACAACTTTGACAAGGAAAAGAAAAAAATGCAAAAGCCTTGCCATCAAAATATATCTTTTCCCAAACTGAACACTATGCTATAACAAAAGTAAGATGCATAGCACAGAGAAATACTTAGAGATGCACTCAGAATTCATCCCAAAGATTGTATGAAACTAGTACTGTATCACCTTTTACTGTTTTCACTTATAACATGCAGAACAAAAAGGAAGGATGGGTAACTTTTTCTTACCATTTTCCCAATCATCATTACATATGGCCCCAAATATTTGTTCACCCCGAAGATGTCTAACAATCGGATATACCAGTAAATAATGTTGACACAGTATATGACACGACCATCACTCCTGAGTGGCAGATCCTGGAGGCGAAGTACCATGCCCACCGAGAATAAGAGGATGGCAATAAGATCGGTAACGTTCCAGTACTCTTGGAGCCACACCTTCACCTTCTGCAGTAGCTTCCCAGGTTCTGACATTAATATCTAGGGGTGGAAAAGGAATAACTTTTGGGTCAAAAACAGTCTGATGAATGATTTGATAACATATTAAATATGATCCAGTATATATAGGCTGAAAAACAGAAATAGACAGCTACGTCCTGGTCTATAATTTCACAAATTATAATCTATTGCAGAGGCCTACATCAAGCCTTATGGAGTATAGGCATAACAGAGCAAGCTAAGTAAGGCAATGTGTAATAGCCTCCTTGGTTTAGTAACAGAGTTTTAGGATATAGAAAGCCACAGGATTCTTGTGACTCCATCTCCCTGCCCCTTATCATTCAACTTACATGATTTGAACCTGAAGTCTATCGCTACCATTAGTATTGACTTTGATATTGTGTGTCCTGGATGCCACCATTGCAAACAAAATGTTTCAGGACCTTCTTTGCAACCTGGATGTATCCAGACCTCCTTGCAATCCAGACAATTTGCAGCTAGAACCAAGGCTACTGAATACTTCATAATATCAATCATAGCATGCAATGGCCATTGCATGAAGACAAGAATTGTCTATTTATGTCCCTGCAAGCTAGCTTTAGCAGATAATGTGTCTGGAGTTATAGTGTCCTATTTCCTCTTTGTAGTACAAGGTGAGTGCCATAATTAAAAAGTGTGGATAGTTTAGCAGTTCTGTTGACTGAAAGATACAAAAGTTGGTAAGTTCCTCAACATGCACTAACGTTACTTTTATTACAGCTTCTCCCAATCTGGTGTCTTCTGAATGTGCTGGGGCTGGATGTAATAAGTGCCACCCTGAGGCATTTTCCTGAGTAAATATGCATGTCAAATTTTACCTGTTGGGAAACATCCAGATGGTATGCAGGGGAAAGAATTACTGCTTTATGAATAAGCACATGAAAGTTTACCATTAAATTTTACTCATTGATCTACTGCCAAATCTTATGACTTGTGTTGGTTTTACGAAAGTAGAAACTAAAATAGCAATCAGTAATCAGTTAAATAAAAGCATTTTTCATATACAATTCAATCACAATAACTATAGCTGCCCATGAATATCAGAAAATTCTTAAAGGGCATAGTTTGCTAAAGAGAATGAGGAAGAAAGATGGACTCCAAATGTCAGTTCCACGGGCTTTTATTCCATTGGAGGTTCTTGCAAATAGAAAGAATGCATTTTTCCTGTTTCCCCTTCCCTCTGTAACTTCCATTATTTTTAAGTATCTCAGTCCTTTAGAGCACCTACAGAAAAGCCAGCAAAAAACCTACTTTTTCTGTTGATGACTGTATCTTATGAGTGATGGAAGAGAACTTAGCATTCAAGACTTTGGTGATAAATTTACAACAACAAATTGATCTATAGTAAAAACTACAGGAAACAGTTGTCTTTAGAATAATGTTACCTCTCTCATCTTTTCTATTCCCATTGTAAATATGTATGAGATAACTATCCATTCTTGCATGGAAGGCCAACGATCCATCTTCACCAAAACAATATAATTAAATAGCATCAGGTACCCAATGTATGACATCTGTAAAGAGAGAAAGTCAGTTTACCTGCATATATGGGATAAATGTTCAGCTGATCTGTTATTGAAATCACATTATTTCTAGAAATAAAAAATTGCTCTCCTGCAAGAAGACTAATTTTTAGTTAAAGAATTCTTTATGAATAAAGAGTTTCACTGCATACTATGGAATCCTACACCTATTGCTAGACTTTATGAATTTACTTAAAAAGAGTGTATAATTCCTTGTTTGCAACAGAAGCAAATACATAATTGCCTAGTCTCTTTAAATGATTGTAAGAAGCAAATCAGTTCATGCCAAAACATTGTCAATGCATCTGGGGTTCTGACACTGAAATTAGTTTAATTTGTCACTATTTAAACCCAATTCAGTGAATTTTTATAAACTTAGTATAAGGGCATAAAGACTACCAGTTGCATCACTCTAAATCTATGAAGAGTACTTTACTTATACAATGTAAACATACTAAAGAATGAGGCCTTTACAAATTAGTGTCACTAGAGGTAGATGATAAAATGATAGTTGCTCCTTACAGTATAGAACCAAAATTTAACAATTGGTGCATTGTAGAACTCATAGATTTTGCGTCCAAAGGGGATCAATCTATGTCTGTTCTGAACTTCATCCTCCTCCTTCTTCCGTGCTGATGACTCTCCATTGCTTCGCCCCAACATCGCCTATAAAGTAAGAAAACATTGGATGAATGGATAAGAGAAAGGCTCAATGGGAATAATTTTTTTTGTTAGTGTTTTTCCCGCATGTGCAGGTTCTGCTTTTTTTGGATCAACCAAATGTTGACATCAGGGGGCTGAGGGACAGTGACTTGCACAAAGTCATGCAGCTGGTTTTCATGCCTAAAGCAGGACTAGAACTCACAGTTTCCTGGTTTCTAGCCTGGAGCCTTAACCTTAAATATAATTTGATATTCAATATTACGATAAGAAAGCTGAGCAAAAAATCTGTATTGAAATATCGACTGCATTTTCAAATGGTAAACCAATACCCTATCAACAAACAAAATCTAACTGTAATTCACAAATTTCTTCCATTTCTGTATATTCTTGGAATACACAGAAAGATTGCTTCTATTTGCTTGTTGATTTGTCATTTTCCTGAATAATGTGTTTGAATCAGGTAGAATGAAAACATACAACAGTAAGTGGAAGGACCACAGGACTGACAATTGTAAGTTAGAATAGCAACAAAACATAAAACATGATCTGAGTGGTTGTGAAAGATACTTATTTCCTACTTCAGGTTTGGATCCAATGATGTTAACTGAAAGAACAGCATGTTCCAGAAGAACCAATCCTACCTCTCCGTTTCACATGTGCTCAAAAGTTATGGTGTAAGACTATCATATCTGGTCTGCAAAAATCTGGATGACCTTTTGGTGACAGCAAGGAATTAAGAGTTTTCAATATCTCTTTATTGCCACCTAGTGTCCACCTGTATTTTTGCAATCCAGATACAATAGTCCATGGATGGGAGAATATCCTGAAACAGATTTAGGGCATGTTCAAAGGGATAGAAGAGAGACTTGAATGAAGAAAATTTAGTTAGTTTAGTCTAGCTCAATTTCCTATTGTCTAGTGGTGATCCTTATTTTTATATACCAGGTATGGTAGCCCTAAATTAATTAGATGACATTGGATATAGTCCTAACTTTCTGATAAAAAGCATAATGGAGTGACATTCATTAACATTTCACAGGGGACTTCAAAGTCTGTGAAGAGAGTAACCTATGAGGAAACAAAAGAAACCAAGAGAATAGAGAGAACACTAAATAATATTATTGGCTACCTTCATTGATTTAGATCCTTAGTAAGTAAAATGAAATTAAGTTCTTTTAAAATTATTTGTTTAATCATGAATAATCATTATAATATATATGATTAATAATAAATGTTAATGAATGATTTATCAAACTGGATAGAGGCAGTTCAGGAAGATAATGTTTGATCTGTAGGAGGGAGGAGATGCTCAGTTATGGATTGGGTTGCAGCTAAATATATTTCCTAAAAGGAAAGCTTAGAGTTTTCCAGTCTTACTCTTTACATATTCATTTAATAGAGATCATTCTGCCAATTCATTTTTTAAGCTTCTTTTGAGCTGACTTTCTCCTGTAAAGATGCAAGAGGCTTTTTAAAGGACGTGACAGTTTGTAGAGAACCTCACTTACCAACATGGAAATGGGGTGAAGTTAAGATTGTATCCAACTCTCTGCTTTCATGAATGTTGGCAGAACATCTCTTTAAAACAGTGTTGTATCCTCACCACCTGGGAGACAACACTCAATCCAGACAATGATACAATATGAAAAAGAGAAGG